GTAGAGCATTTGACTGCAGATCAAGAGGTCACCGGTTCGAACCCGGTTGGGCCCTTACATTTTTTGTTTTTTTGTTTGCTTTTTGCGCCCCCCCACCCACTTGCGCGCGCTAACAATGAATCGGTACACATGGCCTCCGACATTTACAGGTCTAATCTCATCCATGTTTATTCTTTTGCTATTGTTTTACCTTACTTTTGTACTACAATAATTTAAAGAAATTTAAAGATACAAATATTTATTATTTGCTTGGTAATCATAATTAGTCATTCTGTGTTAATGAAAATTTAGTTTAATTGCAAAATAAGCAAGTGATTTTACAAGGAACAAGTATGAATTACTTGATGGTAGTGTTAGAAGAGGTTCTTTATGAATTCAAATTTTCTTCATTCAATATTATGTACATGTTCTAATTCAACATGAATGCAAAATATTTCCTATTTTAGGACAATGCTACTATTTTAGACAATTTATATATGTATGTTGCAAATAAACTCTTTACTTCTTTGAAATGCTTGAATTTTTTTTTCTAACCAATAGAGTAAGAATGATAAAAGAAGTAAAGAGACCTGTAAATGACATTGGAGTTTGTATTAGTAAATGAATTTCTCTTTAATAATGAATTTTTACCTTTAATCTATTGATTTGATACTCAATTTCAATCTTAACTCTGATGTTTCCTTTAAATCATCATTCTAATTACAAAGAGTTGAAATGAATTTCTTTTCGAGCAATATCTTTAAATTTAGTTTTCTGAAATCATGATGAAATTTCTCAAATACTTATAGTAACTCATAAAACAGGTATTGCAAAATAGGACAGTCCTCCAACTTCATTAACATAAGATAAATGCATTTTTTCCACATTAGAACAAATAGAAATTTACTACAAAATAGGTAAAAGCATACAAAAGGTGGGAAGTCATCAAAAAGTAGTACTGCACATAAATTACAACATCATATCTCATACGCATACTCTAAATGCAACTTTAAACAACAGTTGAGCCCTTTACAAGCATACCATCTGTTCCTTATTTATTCCCTAAGAGTTTAATTCAAAAATATCAGCGCCAGAAACAGAAGGCAGATTCTTTTTTCAATAAATAAATGGAATTGACCTAATATACCATCATATATGATAAAAACCAAGCCATCTAATTTTGTTTCCAAAAAACAAAAAAAAAAAAACAAAAAAGCTTCAAGAGAACTGACCAGGTAACACAAACACAAAAGATTGGGACCATATGTGCCTCCAACTCCACCTTGATTTGAGCTTGAAAAGCTTTGAGGTCAAGAGATTGAGAGGCTTGAGTTTACTATTTGTTATCTTCTTCAATAAAAAGTATTCTCAAGGAGCAAGAGAAAGTTTTATCTTGATTTTTGATTTCTTTGTTCTCAAACAGTTGCATTCTTCTTTTCAAGCATGGAACCCTCTTTCAGAGCCAGTTGTGCCTGATTCTCCTTTCCTAGAGCAAAAAGAGCAGCAGCCTGTAAATAGGATGCAATATGCCACTCGGCAGATATTACTTGGGCTTGCAATGCATCAGTATGTGCTTCTTCTGGCATGTCATTCATGAGGTAAGATAGACTACGGCGTGCAAAAACTGTTGGGGAAACCATTGTTCCTACATCAATGAACTGCAAGGATAACAAAGCATCAGTCAGTATTTGGTTCACCCATGTAAGTGCAGAAACATTTACACTTTTGAGTGAACCAGGAAGCATGACGATAATGTCAACTCTCCAGTTGTTTCCAGACCAGACAGATAGTGAAGAAGAATAAGAATAATCAAATGGAAAAGCAAACAAAACTCACAACATCTTCAACCACCATATTATTAAAATGCTCCAGGGGATTAAAAAGCAAAAAGAAATCGCAGACCTGAGTATAGCATTCAATGGCAGCTCTAAAGTCTTTATGCCGGAAAGCAACATCACCCTTTTTCTTCGAATTCAATGTTTCCTGCATCTGGTTGGTCCACATCTGGAATGAAAGCTGCAAAAAAGGAAAACAAACAATGAACATAGTCTACGGTATATTACATGTGGAGGCAGGCATGGAGACAGAAGATGAACAAAAGAAAACAACAAACAGATAATTATATACAAGATGAGAAAATGAGAATTTTTTCGATAGTCAAACATTGTAAAGGAAAAAACTGATACTAAAGATCCACACCAACTTTTCAGTTTCATCAGTTTTAACAGTTACACAAAATATTAACCGCAAATATGAGTCCTAATTTATGACAAACTAGGACACCAATTTCTGTTGAATCTTATGTAGGATAAATTAGAGATAATTTGCCTATTTGGGAAGTTTAGGAAACCTAAATATTATAAATAGGATTCTTAGATATTATGCCTAAAATTTGATAGAATCATAAAGTCAAGTAATCATTCTCAGAGGATATCAGAAAGGTATTGACTGAATAATGCTCTTAAGGATATCAGAAAGGTATTATAGAGTATTAAGTAATCATTTCCCAAATAGGATTAGCCAAGAACACTAACTAGGAAATACAGGTGCTATCAAAAGTAACAAACAACACATAAATAAATTGGAAAACATTAGATATTTCCTAAATAATTTTCTTTTGAAATAATTGATACTTCCTAAATAATTAATTGAAGGTTATAAGATCTTTGCTGACTTAAAAAGAAGACTTGCTGATTTTGGTGATGGTAATATGGTTATGGTATGCATAAAACCTAGAAAGTCTTGGAATCGAGTTTACAAGAAACTTCACATTCGTTTACTAGTTACTACAAACCACAAGGATGAGATAGAAAATATTGTTGACTATCAAGAGGTAACTACAAGGAGTGGCACTTCTCACAAGTTTCCCAAATGGAAGGACTTCCTCAAACTGATGGTACGAGGATTACAGAATTTGAACTTAAGACACTCAACCCTATCTTGCATGACACATTCTATGATCCAACTCAACAGGATTTGAGTTTTTACCACTCAGGGGAGAAGTAACAGTGCATGGCATGGTAGTAATTAAATATTTAGGAATTATCTTATGCTTCCCAATCTATTTACGTTTTGTTTCCTTACTTTTGATGGTATTATTATTTGTTATTTAGATTAACCCTTTATGGAAAAAGGATTACTTGATACCTTATAAATACCTTCACATTCTTATTTAAGTGACGTATTCAGTCAATACAAATTTCTTTGAGATCAGTAATTGATTGTGATTCAAACAACTCTTGAGCCTGATACCTAAGAACATTAGGTGTGACACCCAGTCTTTCTCTAAATTCTCAAGTAGGCAAATTAAATCTAAATTTATTTTACATCAGAATCAAGATTGGAACTGCAAATTGAAAATCCAATCACTGAAGTGAGAATTGTAAATTAAATTGAATCATAAGATTCTGCTTCCAATCAAATTTTATTCTTATACATATATTTTTCAAAAATAAAAAATATGTATTGCAAAATTTATACTCATATTACATACAATTAAAAAATATTTATTCTAAAAACAAATTGCACAAATATTGTAGCTTATGAGTGAATAAAGAAGTTATGTTAATATTTTTATCAGATTTGATTTTAAGTAGAATCAAATAAATTGTAAAAACTGAATCTAGATGTATGATTTACTATTGAATTCAAATATGATTCAGAACAAATTTTGATTCACAAATGCAATTCAAATTGTTTTGTCACTAAATCGAATTGTAAATTCTAATTGTGAATCGTAAAATTCTAACAAAAGTTAAATCAATGAGAAAGACAGATTCCAAATTAACTACAGTACAAAATTAACGCTACAAACTAAATTTCAATATGCTACTGTAATATCCACCTCCACACCACCAAAATGCACAGGACATTTAAGGTCAATATGATGGATATGCTTTATTCTAGAATGAAGTAAGAGATGCTTCTCACTGTACTAGAAGCAGCAAAAGTTATTAAAATATAACCCCATTTGAAACCAGATTAATGTAATCATAACCTCTACAAAGGTCCAGATTATATGTTATAAACTACTCAGTAATACAGTTGATCTGGTACAAACCTCGGTAGCTGCACCCTCATCATCTTTATACCCAAGGTTCTCTAAAATCTCATGTATCGCAGTCAAGTCCATTCTTAAGCAGGCTTCCCCAAGTGGGGACAGAGGCATAGCTGCAGCACCATGTGGCATACCCATTAATACATGAGAAGGAACCTGCACAGCAGAAAAGTCAAATTCCCGTCAATAAAAGCATATCAATCTACAGTATTTAACACAAGACTGAAATTTCATGACCAAGCTTGTCATGGTATCTTTATTCAATTTTTACAATAGAATAGCATATCAACGTGCCAAATTTTACAGAATCTATTAATTTAATCAAGACAGCACTCTGGGGCCCAGAAGAGTCAACATCATCAACCTACAATGTTTATATTCTTTTGAACGTAGGAACAAGATATACAAAGATGTAAACAGAGAATGAATCATGGCCTTTATCTTCTGATAAAAATAGCACCCTCCCATAATAGGAAAAGTTCCCCCGAGCAAACATTAAGGTAATTCTTCAAATCTACCTCATAAGCAGATACTAGTTAATGTTGCCAACTCAATCTCATTACAAAATTAGTGTCTTTCCTTCATATAAAAGGTCAGATGGTCATAAGAGTTCAAGATACTTCAACATAACACTTACTAAAGGATAAATTATACAACCATGAAGTTCAAGAAAGATAAAAATATGGTAAAGTTTCTTGAGAACTGAAATGCAGATAACCTCAGTATCTTTCTGAAGAGGAATTAATGCAGTAACTAACGACTTTGGGTTTGGCCGCTCTCGGGGCTCATATTGCAAACATCTTGAGGCTAACCGCACTAACTCAGTCCCATCATCATCGGAAAACTGGCCTTCCAAGCAAGAATCTGTCAGCATCTGGATATTCCTGTCCCGTATGAGGTCCAGTGCCTAACAGATACATGTGAAGATTAGCAGTGAAGTCTACACCAGAATCCTTGAATGCTTTTTTTTTAATACACACTCGTGAAAGCTTCTACAAAACAAAGCAGCACTAAATAACAATAAAATTCTGACACGTATGTGAAAGTTCTTGATTAGACAGGCAAATCAACTAGCCACGCCACACCATGAGTGCCAGTTCCAGTCTGCTTGAAGTCATGGCAACCAAACATAACATTTTTGCATCAAATGTACCTGATGGAACTTACATGGCTTGGAGGTATATGTTTTCCACTGAGAAGGTCAAGCAAAAGAGTTCCAAAGCTGTATATTACACTTTCTGGCGTTACTCTTCCTACATAGTTTAAAGAGACAGAGCAAGCAATCAGAATAATATGAGAATAGACAAATAGAGCATATTCATAAATAGAATATAGCGCCATAACTATGTAGGATGAAAAACACGCCATACAACATGATATAATATTGACAAACCAAAAGACTGGAAGTCAATAAAGCATCTTCACCTCTTGGTCAGTGTTGTTACGGAAGGATCATGAAAATGAATTTCTATGCCAAAAATAAAGTTGTACCAGAAATATATGAACATTTCCATCCTATGTGATTTTGTTCCATTATTAGTTGACAGATAATAGATAATGATCTCATATGAAAATTTACTTCCGAGCCTCATTAAGAAAGGGATAATTGTTTACATGATACATTATTACCATGCACCTACCGCTATCAAAAAGATACATGCAATAACAGTAAAAGTCAAGGTTGTTTTACAAGCAGCGAGTAAAGAGAGAAAAGAAA